TCCAAACTTCTTGAGCATATCTTTGACATAGCTTGATTAATGAGATGCCATCTTTTCTTTGCTTGATTTGGAGTCCCAAGAAAAATGAGAGCTCCCCCATCATGCTCATCTCAAACTCACTTTGCATTAGCTTAGAAAATTCTTGACAAGAACATCATTAGTAGAACCAAATATTATATCATCACATAAATTTGAACTACTAATAAATCTTTACCTTTTCTCTTTAAAAACAATGTAGTGTCAACCTTTCCTTTTAAAAAACCTTTTTCAATTAAAAAATTTGACAATCTTTCATACCAAGCTCTAGGAGCTTGTTTTAAACCATAAAGAGCTTTTGTCAATTTTAAAACATGATCCGGAAAATTTGAATCTTCAAAACTGGAGGTTGTTCCACGTACACTTCTTCTTTTATAAAACCATTTAAAAATGCACTTTTAACATCCATTTGATATAATTTAAATTCATTGAAACATGCAAATGCTAATAACATTCTAATGCTTCCATCCTAGCTACGGGAGCGTATGTTTCATCATAGTCTATGCCTTCTTGAGTATAGCCTTGAGCAACAAGTCTAGCCTTGTTCCTCACTATATTACCACTTTCATCAAGTTTATTTCTAAAAACCCATCTAGTACCTACAGTAGATTTATTACTAGGCCTTTCAACTAATGTCCATACTTTACTTCTCTCAAATTGATTTAATTCTTCTTGCATAGCCATAATCCAATGTCATCTTTTAATGCTTCTTTGATGTTCTTAGGCTATGCATGAAATAAATGCAACAAATTACAGATTTTCTAAGAGAATATCGAGTAGTTACCTCTTTTGATGGATCACCTATAATTTCACCATCCTTGACATAGTTGTACTCTCTTGGAAAAGATACTTCCCTTTCTTCAATGGTTGGATTCTCGAGGGGATCATGAGTTTCCTCATCTTTTTTTTCCTTTGATGATGATTCTCCAACGTCATGTCTAACGTCATTGCTTGTACATACCTACATCATCATTAACAGAAGAATCCTTCCTCGGAAGGGGATTATCATCGAAAACAACATGTATAGACTCTTCTACAACTAAAGTTCTTTATTAATACACGATAAGCTTTAGAATTTAAGGAATAACCAAAAAATTCCTTCATCACTTTTAGCATCAAATTTACCAAGATTTTCTTTATCGTGTTTAAAACAAAACATTTACATCCAAAAGGATGAAAGTAGCTAATGTTAGGCTTTTTTTTGACAATTTCATATGGAGTTTTCTTTAAAATTGGCCTAATCATTACTCGATTTACAACATAACAAGCGGTATTTGTGGCTTCCGCCCAAAAATATTTGGCAAATTATTTTCACAAAGCATGGTTCTAGCCATTTCTTCTAAAGTTCAATTTTTTTCTCAACAACAACATTTTGTTGAGGGGTTCTAGGTGCTGAAAAATTGTGGCTAATACCATTAGAATTACAAAACTCAATAAATCCAATTTTCAAATTCAGTTCCATGATCACTTCTAACACTAGTGATAGAGTAACCTTTTTCATTTTGGATTATTTTTGAAAATGTGATGAAATTTTCTAATGCTTCATCTTTAGTACTTAAGAATAGAACCCAAGTGTATCTAGAATAGTCATCTACCAAGACAAATGCATATTGTTTCCTCCCAAGCTAGTAGTTCTAGTTGGCCCAAAAAGATCTAAATGGATCAATTGTAATACTCTACTAGTTGATACTCATTAATAGATTTAAAAGAAACGCGCTTTTGTTTCCTTTAGCACAAGCATCACAGATTTTATCATTATCAAAATTTAGCTTAGGCAACCCTCGAACTAAATCACCTTGAATTAGCCGTTGCAAAACACTCATACTAGCATGTCCTAGTCTCCTATGCCATAACCAACTATCATGTTCATCCTTAGCAACTAGGCACAAATTAGTCATATCAATAGAATCTAAATGCACCATGTAAATGTTTCCTATTCTATGACCAACAAGCATAATCGATTAGATGCAATGTCAATAACTTTACAACCATTAATTTCAAACAAGACATTGAATCCCTTATCGCATAATTGACTAACTCAATAGATTATGCTTTAATCCATTCACATATAAAACATTTTTAATTTGTATGGAAGAGGTATTACCTATGTACCAATACCTTCAATGTGACCTTTTGAATTATCACCAAAAGTCACTTCTCCTCCATTTTTGACGTTAAGCTCAATGAACGGCTTTTGTCTCCGGTCATATGTCTTGAGCATCCACTATCAAGGTACCATGAATTTGAATTTGTTTCCTGTGCCTTGTAGCAATGCTCCTTTCCCTACAAACATAGATTAATTTGATTTTTGGTACCCAAATTCTTTGGGTCCATATTCATTAGTTTCCAAAATCCTAGTCCCCTTAGGTATCCATTTGTGAGGATATCTTTATCTTAGTAGTAATGAGTCCTTTAGGAACTCATATATTCTAAAGATTTTGTTCCAACTTATCAAAAGAAGTTT